CCTGTTCACTGCCAAGCTGAGAGGCTGAAACAGAGTCTGTTTCACATTCCCTCGTGCCATATGCAGTTATGCTGAGTTCCAATCTACAGTGGCGGCCATTCAGTCTCACCTGGAGAACTCCTGCAGGAATAAAACAGAATGGTTCCAAGTGATTTGCGTTTTAGTCCAGCAGGAGCAGCTACAGGTTTCCTTGAAACAGAACTTCTGCGAGTCAAGGGGCAACCTCGTGGTCTGAAAAGTGGAGCCGATACTTAAGTTCCTCAAAACTTGCATTCTCTCTACTGACCAGCAGGGGGCGACTCCTCTGGTTGCAAAAAGAAGTCTGATTGTATAGAAGTCTATGAGAAAATGACTCTACTTCTCTCTTGATTTATTACCTCAGTAAACATTGTAAACATGAGTTTATGGTCTCAATCTCTAGTTTCAAGTCTTCTTCAATACAGCATGATGTTCATTTAGGAAATGATGGTCCATTTAGAGTCAAATAGACCATAAAGCAGAGTATGCTTTAGGGCGGGGCTACCTTGTGATTGACAGGTCACTACCACAGCAGCTTGGTGTTGTCTGTGTATTTGTCCATGTATTTGCCTTTCAAAGTGTGTTTTCTGTTCATGAAAGTTTATTGCAACATTTTGGTCACCTAAAAATGTCTCATTCATTGTTCAGTTGTCCTTAGCTCCACCCTCTCGTGTCACTTCTGGTTGCAATAAAACAAGATAGCGACATCCAAAAACTAATATGGCACTGGCCAAAATGCAGAACTCAAGGCTTCAAAACCATATTCCACAAACCAGCGGGTGGGTCAACCTGATCAAATCTGGTCCTAATTAAAATCCTCAACCTTCACTTAATCATCACCCCTGGATGATGTCATCCCCTTACTGACACCCCTTTACAATACATGGGTAACATTTTGAGGGAAAACAGATGTTGTGTTCTGCCAGTAAATGGCAACAACTGCAGCAGTGTGTGCTGGTGGTGATGCTGCTGGAGCAATAAGGCCATCGTGCGTTTGTACCTTCCTATCCAACAGTGGACTTTGGCCTCACTACACATTCACCAACAGGGGACATTTTGGAAGTCCCCAGTTGGTCATGCTTTAAATCATGCTAAAATGATGTCTAAAAACCTCTTTAAAAATGTAGCCAAGAGCAGACTTGTGTGCGTGTTTAAGTCCATGCTCAGGATTTTAACAACTCACAACCTCCAAATTCCAAACCTGGAGTCAGAGACCAATGAAACCAAGACTCGCCAGAGCAAGAGGGCCGAGGGTCATGGGCAGTACACCCGGAGCATCCAACTGGACCAACAGTTGGCTCATCAGAATAACATTTCCTTAACCTTATTCACAATTTAGTATTCACGAGGAAGCATCTTTTTCCCAATAGTCTACATATAATTTACAAACCGATTCCAATATGCCATGACATGTGGAATAGAGACGTCTCATTGAAATAGGGCACGTACAGAGCATTTCAATGATGTTTTTTATTCATAGCAAATGAGAGAGAAAAATGTTTTTTTAAACAATACTGAGATTTGGTAATGATTTATTTCAACCGATTACTCACGAAAAAAGAGGAGGAGCAACCTCCTCTTCCTCTATGGACCAGCCAGGCAAAAAAGTTGAGAACAGATCAGCATCTGATTCCACCGTCGGCTTCAGAGATGTCCTGCTAATTATGAACCGCGGTAGACGGCGTCAGTGTGTTTTTAGATGCCGCTGTGTGTGTGTGTGTGTGTGTGTGTGTGCGTGTGTGTGTGGGTGTGTGTGTGTGTGTTTGTTTGTTTCTGTGTGTTAGCAGCAGGAGTCCAAGTGAATGGAAGTGCATCACGCTGACCTCACCTCGGGAACAGGCAGTCTCTGTTCCCTCCACAGCCTGTCCCACCCTTTTGGACACACACACCCACCCGTGCACACTCGCATACGAGTGAATTGACAAACATTTTATTAACGCACATGCTGGCCTTGATGGCCAACAGAATGAGGCAGGAACTCGGATGCCCAGATCCGCTCTCAATGGAGGGTGGGGTTTAAGTATGCGAGGAGTCATAAACACACTACTGAATTGAATGGCTGTTTGAGATGTAGTGCATAAAACATACTTTAATAAGCAGACATTACAAAGATCTGGCTTGTTGTCCATTTCTAATGAACATTTAATGTTCCTTTCACAGAAAATGAGACTCCGGGTATAATCCATGGAAAATGAGGATCAAGTCTGTTAATTTCTTGAGGTTATTCCCTCTTATTTTAGTAGACTAGGTATGTGGTTTTCAGTGGGAAAACCTGCTTTGCACTCAAACTTTTGCCAAACATGATGTAA